AAGCCTGTATTCATTATATTTTTACTTTATATAGACTAATGTTTATTGTGTTTGCGTAGTTTTAGATAAACAGACAGAATGGGAATCCAGTTAGATTTGATGTTTTGTCTTTAAATTGAGCTTCATTATCAGCCTTACAAAGAACTAAAACTGCTATTTAAAGATCACCATCAGCAGTTCAAAGAATCTGTATTTGGTGAACGACTTTCCAGTCCAGATTGAACTTATTTAACACATATAATTGAAAGGTGCAGATTGTTTAACGTTTTGTACTTACATTTTTTAATCGTCAAAATATATCAAGGTAAACATGGGTGTCAGTACTGTCTTATAAAACCTGAAATAAGGGGCATGAAGTAAGTAAAACCTGCAGGGTTACAACTAAAGAAAAAATACACTAGAAAACATCTAAATCTAGATAAGTCGGTTTCTATTTTTTTTTAAAGTGCATTTGTTCTTGAATTGAGAAGGTAAAAGGGAGGTTTTGCCAACAGAACAGAAAAATTTACATTTAAAATAAGAAAACGCAATTGCATTGTCTTATTTCAAGTGTATTTTATCTAAATATCTTATTTTAAGAGTAAAAATACTCATTCCATTGGCAAATCATTTGATTTACCTACTCAAAATAAGGGTAAATACACTTAATTTAAGAAATTTCTACTTATTATTAGATAGTTTTTCCACTTTAAGTGATATAAATTATGTTAAATAAAGATTTTAAAAAAGTATCTTAGAAACCTGTAGAGCTCCTTCAGCTTAAAACAGGTTTTTATATCCAAAGCACTTTCAGCTTAATTGCTTCTATTCATACTTTTTTTTTGTTTTTTTGTTTTAATTAGACTGCCTTGTCTTCTTCTCCCACTGTCTCACAGTGTTTGGGCAGACTGAGTTTATTTAGCACAGCTGTAAAGTGAAGTGAAGTGAAGAGAAGAGAGATTTTGCTGTTTGGCTTTAAGCGTTTGTGATCGGACGTCATCCCAGGCCTGTCTCTGTGTGGCTCTACACTGAAAACAAATCATTATGATGGTTTGCTGCTGATTTATGCACCAAACCCTAAACTCATCAAACTTTACGAACAACGTTAGTCAGCGTTTGTGTCACAAACAATAAAAAAAAAAAAAAAACATGTTTAAAATGCTTCAACTAAATATACTTGGTTATATAGCACCATAACACTAAAACAAAGAAAAAAATGTGGGTTATCTGCTTTAAATAAAAACAAAACAGAGAATATTGGCCATAGATTCCTATTAAAATAACCTTTTTAAATACACAATTATTTCTTTGAAATTATAATATTGATGAAAAAATGTTGCATAATCATCCTTGGCTACCTGTTCTCCTTGGATGGAAATATAACTAAATGATCTTTCCCACTCCTAAAAAGAGGAAAAAAAGAGAACATGCACTAATTTAATTAGAGAAATAAATAAATAAAAGGAAAAAACTATATTTGTCCATATCTACAGATAATTAGTTAATCGGATTAATCAAAGTTAATAGATTTTTGATATACTCGTCAACTGAATAAGTAATTGATTAATCGTTACCTGGATTCTAGAGACTAAAACATCCATTTAGATGACAGAGCAACCCACTTAGAGCAGAAATTATACCAAAAAAAAAAAAATCAACATTTTGCATTTAAGATAAAAAAAAGTTTCCTCTGTCATGCTCTATCCAGAACTCCTCAAGTGGAAAATTTGTTTTTTAACTTGGTTTAATTTCGTAAAAACTATTTTTTAAGGAATCTTTGGCTATCCGATTAATGGAAAAAATAATCGACAGATTAATCGATTTGTAAAAAAGTTTTAGTTGGAGACCTATACATAATACTTTTAAAAATTTGAAACTAAAAGATTGACAACATAGACTTGTTGACGAAGAAAAGAAGCCAAGGATTGCAACAGAGAGTTAAAAACTGTATGTGCCTCATGTTAAGTACGGTGCAGGATCCATGATGCTGCGGGCCTAACTAGGAGAGCATGAGAACCTTGTTCCTTGTTAGGTTGCCCTTTTTAATGTATCTCCAGTAAAAACCGTGTGAAATCTGCCAACCAATGGACCATCTTTGAGTCTATTGTCCGAATAATGAATGAAAAAAACAAAGTTCTTCTTTTATTCATGTCCTCCATGTTTAGAAAAATTGCAATAACCATGAAACCAAACAGCTTTTACAGTTGAACACCTTTTTTTTCTCATCTGCAAAGTTCAGTAAACTTGCATGATCTATGATTAGAAGATATAAAAAAAGCTGCCCTGCTGCAGAACAGATAGGATCTGTTCCAGGCTACTGTGGGCTACAGGAAATGAAGCCACGCTGCAAAAGAAACCCACATAACCCAAGGTTCACAAGTTATGTCACCCACTGTACGTCACATCTGTGCACAGACACACATTTTGGGCTTATCTAATCCTGGCTGCTGTTTTCCTGACAAAAACAAAGCCTTAAATGCACCGCTGGGACTTCAAGACTACCACAAAGGCAGGGAAGTGGAAAACTAATCCGGAAGAGATTGAGGGGGAGAGGTGAGTTCCTCCTGGTCTATCATGGGGACAGGAATTAGTTTGTTTAGTCAACTTGTCAGGTTAAACAAAAGGGAACTGAGCGGTGAGGGTGACCCAGTCCTTTTTTTGGGCAGCTACCATCAAATTAAGGAAAACAAAATGAACTAATGTAAAGAAATTCTCCCTGACGGCCTGAAGGGAGCACAAATCTCACACCCGACTAGTAGAAATACAATTTTTGGATTCTGTTTGACTCTATTTCAGGTCCTTCATGTTAATATAAAAGCATGAAAGCCTTGAGGGATTTCAGTTAACCTTTGATGTGAAAACTTCATCCTCGGCAGCTTGTGCAAAAGTATTTCAGTTGGTGGAAATTTACACTCCTACACTCCTCCCAATGAACTTTATAACATTTGATCGTCCTACAACTATAAACTTTAATGTTTCTAATGCCTTTTTTGTCGTATTTAGAATAGAATAGAATAGAATAGAAAAGAATAGAATAGAATAGAAAATCCCTTTATTGTCCCACAATGGGGAAGTTCTGGTGTTTACAGCAGCAAAAAGATTATTGAAAAAATGTTTAACACAAATGTGGACCTTAGAAAAAATTATAAGATTAACATACTAGTGAAGAGTTAGAAGATAAACAATAAAATACTGTTCTATAAAGTGTTTTAATAATATAAAACTGTGCATCTGGAGAATAAAATAACCAATATACAGTTATGGATATTTTTATAATAATGGATATTTGAAAATAGCAGCAACTTCAGAGATGGACAAAATGACTAAGAAAGACTAAGACTAAGCATGAATGTAACAACTTATTGAGTTTGTTGGGAACAGTGGTGCTTATAAAGTCTTCCAGCCGCTGGGAGGAAGGATCTGTGATAACGCTCCCTGGTGCATTTAAGGTGCAGCAGTCTGTCACTGAAGGAGCTCTCCATTTCTGCAACAGCTTCATGCATAAGGGGGAGATTTTATCCGACAGAGATGTTAATTTAGTTAGGGTCGTTTTGTTTAATTGGGAAATAGAAGAAAATCAAACACTTATTGGGTTAAAACTCAGCTTAAAGAAAAAGTCTGGTCAGCAAGGATTAATTAATGGATAATTATTTATACCTAAAACTAATATGTTTTCAGTGATTTAATTAATTTAGCGTCAATCAGTAAAAAAAATTTTTAAAATAATTTATGTTGCGATCACTGAGTTCAGGACTCTAAGTTGGGCCATTTTTGCCCAAATATAGTAACACCTCACTCCTGACAGCAGTGACGTCACGGTGCGGTAAGCCTAGCGCCATTCTCCCCGCTTTACAAGCAAAATCAATGGGAACTACTAGACACATCTGCAATCAACAACTATTATTGAAGATTTCCAGAGGACTTCACCATTGAAATTCACCAGAGCTATAGTGAAACTGACAATGCCCACATGCATGGCAGCTGGCTGTTGTAATTTTATCTTTTATCTTTACCCCAAACAATTCAAAATTTTGTTCTAAAAAGAGCATGAATCCTGTATCTATCATCTTTAATGTTTGTATATCCATGTGTATAATTAACCACAGCGTTTCTGTTGTCAACTAGTTGTTAATATATGAAAAATTTTAATGTTTAATAAGTTTGAAGATTCCCCTTCAGAGTATTACTGCTGCCACAGTCTGTATAAGAGGCAAAAAATGATAGGGGTGGCCAATGATTGGGTAAGGGTGGCCATGGTCACCCCTGGCACACAATCTAGCTCCACCCCTGCACCCTAGGGGTTGCAGACCCCCTGTTGAAGACCTCTGCTGTAAGACATGCAGCTGGAACATCTGGCTCTACAGCAGATCAGCAGGTTTTAGATGCCTTCATACTAGAACAGATATGAAGTTTCACCCACTGTAAGAAAACACATAAACATCCAGTATTTACAGAAACCTCAGTGGAAGGAAGCAGCTCAGTTCCCTGGCTGGATGTTGCAGGGGTGGTGCCCTGAAATGTAGCTGTGGGTGGGTGGAACCAGTAGGAAACAACAACACCAAGCCCAGATCAACACAGTACTATCAGATCTTAGATGTGCACAAGCTGATTTGCAGATGCATTCACCACTGGAAGCTGATTGCTGTGCATCTGGATCTTCCTGCAGATGCAACTTGTTATTGGTAAACAAAGTGACAGCAAATGCAGCTTCATGTGCAGCTTGCAGATAGATAATCGCCTTTAGTGGCACAGACGAGGTGTTATTGGCTTGTTATACCAGGGGGGAGCCTGTAAGCTGCATGCACTATATGAGTTGCATGAATCCAAACACAGTGAAGAAGCTTCTCCTCTCAGCTGACCCGAGAACTGCTGCGGCCATCAATTATTAATTATGTTTATCCAGGCGTCCCCGTTATAAAGGAGGCAGCCTGACCCACAGTAACCCAGCAAACAGTCACACATGTCGGCTTGTGTAATGAAACCTCTGCCCCAGACTGCCAGCTCTAAGTTTCAGTACTCACTGCGGCTGTGTTGACCCCCTCGTAGTGAAAGAAGAAGGGAAAAAAAGGCCAGTCACAGCTCTTCTCCAGTTTCCCTGCTGCTGTCACCCATTAAAGTGGCGCCTTAAAGCGTTACAGACTCACAGATAGGATTCAGAGCTGTGTTTAAGGGGTGTCTCCCTGGTTTTCAGGCTCTGTTTCCTTGTCTACGTCCGTATCTCCTGTATATCTTTCCCTCTTTTCCGTCTTTGCCAGCTCTTCCACTGGCGACTTCCCCGCTAGTGGTGTGCCGCTCGCGCCTGAGCCGGCTACGTTTGCTGGCTCTTTTTGTGGGAACGCTTTGACCGCAGGAATAAATACTGCTAGGATTGATTTTGAAACGCAATGTGTATAAGCATATCAAGTGCTATTTCCATGTTAAATCCTGAAACGTACAATTTTGTACGAATTTACTCAAATATTGCATATTTATTTACCCAGACAGTTAAAGATTTTGCTTAATTCACTAGGGCTTTTTACAGTATGTGCCTTTAACTGCCAATGTTGTGTTGAAGTGTGCAATGCCACATATATAATCATATGCGTATATGTATTAATTAGAATATTATTTCAGAAATATACAATATGATAACTTAATACCCCTGATGAAAACAGAATATTTTTTTAAATTCTGTAACACAGTTATACTTTAAGTCATTTTTTCTACAAAATAAGAAGAAAAAAAAAAAAATATATATATATATATATATATATATATATATATATATATATATATATATATATATATATATATATATATATATATATATATATATATATATATATATATATATATATAACATCTCATTAAGACTATATAGTGTTGAAATGGGTAGTTATAGGATATTTTGCAGATATTGATTGGATTTTTGCTTTTTTTTCAACTACTTTAACAGTGATTTGTCTGAATGTTAGAGTTTATCATAGGAGGACTCTCACATACAAAGTGGCAGAGTGGTGCTACAAGCAGATAAAAAGGAACACAGAATTAGGCAGGTATTGGGACACATGTAGATTTCAATCCTTCAATCTTCACTTCTTGTAATGTCAAAAACAAAAAAAACGCTTCATGTTTTTTGTTTTGTACAAGATTAGGCATAACCTGTTTTATTTTAAGGACATTTTTTAATTTTTCTGCATTAATTTAGTATCAAACCTTGATTTTATCTTTTTGCCCGTTCATTCTTATCTAAGCCAAATGATGCGAATCTCTGTAAAGAGGTGGAATGCCCATTATGTTCCCTGATGCTTTCCTGCTCTGGCACTCCCGTGACGTCACGGAGACAGTGCGCGCGCCTCCGACAAGACCCCATCTCCACGCGCCCCAGCCTCTGACTGGGTCGCGTGTGTGCCAGTCCTATTATAAAAGAAGTACAGTTCATCAGTATAAAGTAGGGGAAAAAAATAGCTGAAATGTGTGTCCTTCTTTAGATATAAAGCTCTGATTGTCTTTAAGATAAAAATAAAAAAGCTAGACTCAATATTTACGTCCAAAAAAAGTTAATTGCATTCTATTTTAGGGTAGATTTAAATAAAGTTAGTTAATATTTAAATTTTATATAATATTATTCATCATGGTCATCTTTACATATACAGAAAATCACTTCATATATAAGAGAAATAAACTATAAAATATTATCAGTCATAAAGCATTTAGACATAAAAAAGATTGTGGGTCACATTTCTAAATTTCAACTCATATTCTCTGCTTTTAAATCAACTTTTGAAACAGCATCAAATAAGCAGCAGAAGAACAGAAGCAAACATCACGGTTCGTTGGTGACAGATATTATTTGTGACATTGTGCCCAGAAAGTAGCACCAGTGGCATTAGAGTTAACCTTCAGCTTCTGATGACAGTTAGATCCAATACCCAGAAATAAATGCATTTCTCCTGCTCTCATCCAGCTTACATTGGATAAGCTGGTTGATGAGTTACCAGATCAAAAAGAATGCTTCACATAGATTTGATCATCTGTTGAATTTTTCCCTTCAACTTTATTTAATTGATGCTGTGTTTGAGGAACAAACATACTTTTGACATTTTGTACTAATGCAAACAATTACCCACAAAAATCCTCCAGAAGAAACCCAAATGATGACCTTCATCAGAGAAACACAGAGTCATACATTTACAGTGTCCCACTTCCCAGGGGCCCAGTCAGTCAGAGAGCTGAGGTAAAAATAACCCAGTGGCGTAATTCCCCCTGAGAGAAACACATCACTGGAGCTTGACCACTGCAACCTTCTATGTCCACTGATTTAAATGAGAATTATGCACCTCGGTTTCCCCATGGTCAGTGGGTCTTTGTCAGAAAGACATGTCCTAATTAATCTTATTGATACAGTGTCTTGCAAAAGTATTCGCCCCCCTTGAACTTTTCAAACTTATGCCACATTTAAGGTTCAAATATAAAGATATAAATTGTATTTGGCTTTGAAGAATCAACAAGTAGGACACAATCATGAAGTGGAACCAAAATTACTCGCCATTTTAAGCTTTTTTTAGAAATAAAAAACTGAAAAATTGGGTTTGCAAAGTTATTCGCCCCCTTGAGTTTATACTTTTTACTGCAATTTCAGCTGCAAGTCTGTAGGGGTAAGTCTCTATTAGTTTTGCATATGAAGAGACTGACATTTTTGCACATTCTTCCTTGCAAATCAGCTGAAGCTCAGTAAGGTTGGAAGGAGAATGTTTGTGAACAGCAGTTTTCAGTTCTTTCCACAGATTCTTGTTTGGACTTGGCCATTCTAACTCCTGCATATGTTTATTTGTGAACCGCTCCGTTGTAGATTTAGCTTCATGTTTTGGGTCATTGTCTTGGTGGAAGAGAGATCTCCGTCCCAGTCTCAGGTCTTTTGAAGACTCCAACAGTTTTTCTTCCAAAATGCTCCTGTATTTGTCTCCATCCATCTTCCCATCAATTTTCACCACCTTCATTGCCCCTGCTGAAGAAAAGCAGGCCCAAACCATGATGCTGCCACCACCATGTTTGCCAGTGGGGATGGTGTGTTCAGGGCGATAAGCTGTGTTGCTTTTCTGCCAAACATAAAGTTTTTGCATCGTTGCCAAAAAGTTTTAGTTTGGGTTCATCTAACCAGAATGTGTTCTTTTACGTTTGCTGTGCCTCCCAGGCAGCTTGTGCCAAAACTTTTTTTTTTCTCCAAAGTTTATTTATGCTTTAACGTGTGGTACAATATAAAGGCATAAAAAAGTTATATAGATAACAATATTCCTTTAACATATAAACATAATTGGGCTAGAACAAACCTCAATATACCCGCATATATACACCCATACAGAATACAAAAAAAATAAACAAAATAAAATAAAAAAAAAGTAAATAATAAAATAAATAAATAAAATTAAAAATAAAATAAATCAATAGTAATAATAATAAAATAAATAACTGCAAAAAAGGATCAAGCCAGGTGAGCATAATGAGAAGTGGAAAGAAACTGATATATCAAAAGACAAATAATTAAAGTAAAAAGAACCACAGTATTAAAATCATGTTATTTTTTTCCCTTCCTTTTCACACAGTCCATATGGGCACTCAAAAAATATATATATAAAAATAAAAATGTTTTCCTCCGCTGTTGATGTGTCAGACAAACAATTCAAATCAAAACAGAAGAAAAAAGAGAGGAGGAAAAAAAGACATTGATAAGAACAATGCCTAACAGCTACATACATTTCACCTCATCAGTTCTTGTTCCAAAACTTTAAATACCGTAAGAGTTTTTATGTATTTCTTTAAGAAATGAATTTCTTTCAAAAAGTCCAGATTTGTGCACTATACAACTGTTTGTTGTCCTATGAACAGAGTCTCCCACCTCAGCTATAGATTTCTGGATCATCCACAGTGATCATGGGCCTCTTGTCTGCATCTCAGATCAGCCTTCTTTATGTTTGAGCTGAAAGTTTAGAGGGACGGTGGGTCTTCGTAGATTTGCAGTGGTCTGATACTCCTTCCATTTCAATACCATTGCTTCTACGGTGCTCTTTGGGATGTTTAAAGCTTGGGAAATCTTTTTGCATCTAAATCCAGCTTCAAACTTCTCAACAACAGCATCCCAGACCTGCCTGATGTGTTTCTTGTTCTACATGATGCTCTGATTTGAACAGGTGTCTGAGACGATCACAGAGCAGGTGCATTTATACAGAGACTTGTCATCATCAGTCATTTAGGTCAATATCGGATCATTCAGAGACCCTCTCTGAACTTCTAGAGAGAGTTTGCTGCACTGAAAGTAAAGGGACCGATAGATCATTTTGCAAACCCTGCTCTTCAATTTTTTTATTTGTTAAAAAAGTTTAAAATATCCAATAGATTTCTTTCCACCTCACGATTGTGTCCCAATTGTTGATTCTTCACAAAAATAAAAATTCTATATCTTCATGCTTGACGTCTGACATGTGGCAAAAGGTTCTAAAAGTTCAAGGGGGCGGAATACTAACATCTGAATCAGTTATCAACTGATCATGTTGTGCAACCATGTTTTTTAAAGATGCCCTCACTCTATCAGTGCCTTTTGGTTAATCACCAGTTTCCTGATCCTGCAGCTTTGGGACACTCTAAGCTCCATCCTTGGGCTAATCATTGGAGTAGGGTTAAAGACTGGCTTTACTGTCTATCTAATGAGATATAAGCTTGATGAATGATATCATAAATTAAGCTTGGATTGTGAAAATGCCGTTAAGGCCTTATAAGATACTTCTAGATGTGTAAATTTGTAAGCGATATTTCCTTACAGCTTTGAAGCTTTATTTGCATAGTGATTTTGTCTCAATGCAAAATGTATACCCAACTTGTTGAATTAATTTAGCTTAAATTCCTATACTTTCTTCAATTTTTTTTTTTTTTTTTTTTTTTTTTTTTTTGTTATTTTATGTTGTTCAACAAATCTTAATAAAATCCATTAAAGTTTTTGTCTGCATCTTAAAAATGGAGTGTTGCAATTTTATTCTGGTCAAACTAAGAAAAAAATGTCCACCTGTCTGATCACCTATAGCCATGGGGAGCCTGATTCAGCAACCTGCTGCTGTCCTACAGGTGCTGGTCATAAAATTAGAATATCATGAAAAAATAGATTGATTTCAGTAATTCCATTTAAAAAGTGAAACTTGTATATTATATTCATACATTACATACAAACTCATATATTTCAGATGTTTATTTTGTTTAATTTTGATGATTACAAATGACAACAAATGAAAATCTCAAATTCATCATATCAGAAAATTAGAATATTA